CATCGAAGATTAAAAAAATATATAAGATATAAAGTCAATTTCCAATCAAAACATGGACAAGAGAGTGAGTGAGTTTAGTTTTACGCCGCACTCAGTAATATTCCAGCTATATGGCGGCGGTCTGTAAATAATCGAGTCTGGACCAGACCATCCAGTGAACAACAGCATGAGCATCGATCTGCGCATTTGGGAACCGATGACATGTGTCAACCAAGTCAGCGAGCCACCCGATCCCGTTAGTCGCCTCTTACGAAAAGCATGGGTTACTGAAGGCCAATATTCTAACCTGGACCTTCACGGGTCTGGAAAAGAGACACTTTTTTTACATGGTGTGATTTATAAACAGCTGAGCGACCTTTTGAAATTACTTAATCTACAGTTTCTTTGTTTAGTAGATTCAGTTATGGTAAAACAGACCAGTGATAAAACGAATACTTTTGAGACAAAGCGATATTGTTTTACAGCAAAGACAGTAAACCTTACTCCTCTTCGGCTAATGTCAGGCGTGTGTTAAAAGGGTATATGGAACACAGCAAAAGTAATTCTTACATGAAGTCAAAATTGTCTTTAGAAGAAAAGTCTATTGCTTGAGTAAAATCTACAGTACTTTGAAACATCATAATACGGAAAGGCCTGGACATCTTTAAAGCCTTTGATACTGCAACACGGAAAAACTAGGAAAATACAATCAAGTCACACACATATTGATTCACCTTTAATCTGTATTTTTACTCTCTAATATATTACAGCGAATAAGTCTTCATTCTGATTTATTTTAAACTGCTTTCTTGTAACGTGACTTCTACCCCTTTACCCCTCACTTTTGCCCTGTCTCTCCTAGGAAGAGGACAGGTTGATTATTCCACACTATCGCATTGACCCATTGACCCAAATGTTACATATATACATCTGTGCGTAAAATAAGCACAACCCTGTATTTTTACCAATTAATTTTGTCTGAAATGAAACTCTAAACTCTTTCCGAAATATAACCTTTATAATTTGAGAGGACAAGCATTTAACATTTCAAAAACGAAAACATCATTGAAATTACCATGTATTTTAATTAGGATAATTGCTTATATTTAAAACAGGTGTTTTTCTGTCCTAAAACAAGTTACCTTATTTTGAAAAGTGAAAGTAATAATTGATTGTTGTGTCGCCTATAAATTCGTTTTTTATTGTGAATAGATGAAAGTTTGTAAACTAAGATTTAGAAAAAGTTACAGTCAAACTAAAAATACGGAAAATTTTAAAATGCAGTAAAAGTTGCTTTAAAAACAAAACAAACTGATTTTAGCTGTAATTATCAGTATCCGGCAAGGAGAAGTGTTCATTCATTACAATAAACTCACAATCATTAAAAAAATATTCCAAAATCTTATTAATGCGGCCCTTTTCAGTTTTTGTCAATTAGCAATCTGAATTGTTGGAAAAAGGTCTGAATCTTTGACATTCGGGTTCTTCCTGATTATGCATAATTAAAGCTTACTTGATGTGTAAATGTCATCTTGGTATATAAAAGAATTGTTATTTTAAGTCAAAACTTAATTTAATTGTGTAGTTTGAGCAGGAGAGGAATAATTACTTTAAGGGATGTGTATTGCCCCAAATGTCGTATTGCGATATATTGCGATACACTCTTCTGTATTGCGATACGTATTGGAATATATTGTGAAAGAACAGTTATTGAGGTCTGTCCGCTTTGTAATATTCTTTTACCTTCAAATTGAATCACAGTATATGTGAGTAACCATTGTGCATTGTATAGCTTCTTCAAAGTGAAAAAAGGAAATTCCAGAACATTCTTCTGTTTATATTTTTATTATAAAACAGCAGGGATTGACACTTACTAAAACTTTTAACTGGCCCTCCGGGCTAGTGGATTTTGTATGTCACTAGCCCTTTCCAAAAATTACTAGCCCTAGGCTTTACTATAAAAAAAACTGTCAACAAGTCTTTCTTTTAAATGTAACGGTAACGCATATAAATGTATGATTCTCATTTCATATATATGACAAATTCAACTGAAACTAGCTTACACCATGTCCTCTGTCGACCCACCCATACTATTTATACACTTTAACTTCTTTAAACAGCAAAGGAGGTTGCATTTCAAATAATTTAAAGAGTAAATGAATTTACTGTACACGTCTGTATTACTCAAGAAAAATTTAAATGAAGTCGCAGTCATATGACGTGAAGTGCACATTCTAATCAAAACGATGATTTATGCACCTTTGTCTTTGCATAACAGTATTATTAGCATTACCTATTTCATGAATGAAATATATCCTAACTTTTCTGTAGCATCACATCTTATTTTCAAAATAGGGAGCTTCTTATAATTAATTAATGCACGGGTGTATATATCAAGCGAGTGCATTCAATAACACATCCATCAATATTAGGGACAAAGGTGAAAACCCGGGATTATTCTGGCAAGATGACTGTAATGTTTCGAACTGATGTATACAGAAGGGTAGTGCTCATCAATTTCGATGTTGTCATCTTCTCTGCCCGTACCTTGGAGTCAACCTTGTGTGCAGACTCTTTCAGTGCTGTCACAACCCCTAGTGTACAGTACACAACCCTGTGCTTTTAAAAGAACCCACGAATCCGTTGGTATATGACCAGATGGTGGCCACATGAATACTTGCAAACACCTAGTTGCGGGTACAACGTGCCGTAGACTTGGACAAAGTACTGTGACTATATGTCCCAGTCCACCCAGCTGTGAATGAGTACCTCGTTCGGATGAGAAATCCACACTACCTCGGTGCGCCTAGTGGCTGCAAGAGTTGTATGCTCCCCAGAGAGTTGAAATTGATAATATGACGTGCCGTTGAGATTGACATCCAGTGATCATCACAGTCATGCTGTTATCACATGCAGTATACAGTATATCAAGTGCAATATGATGTATATCACATACACTATACGGCGTGTCACGGGCAGTGTGCGCCGGGCGAACTCCCGGCTGGGTCGTAACACTGGTAGCCTCACCCTCTCCCCTTGACAAATACTGCATGGGGGATGTCACAGGTCAGGCATTTACTGGTCAGCTGTTTGTCCGTTGGCCTGATAATGGGTGCAGGATTTAAACATACTCTTGAAATTCTGAGACTGTTGCTTTCTGCTGTGGTCTTATAAGGTCAAGAGTAGGATGATCCTGACGACCACTGCACGAGCAGCATGGTGGACAAGGTTCCACACGGTCTTGCCATATTACCATTTTTGGAAGACAGATTATGAAGACTGAGGTATAGTGAGTGAGTGAGTGAGTGAGTTTAGTTTTACTCCGCAATCAGCAATATTCCAGCTCTATGGCGGCGGTCTGTAAATAATCTAGGCTGGACTAGACAATCCAGTGATCAACAGCATGAGCATCGATCTGCGCAATTGGGAACCGATGACATGTGTCAACCAAGTCAGCGAGCCTGACCACCCGATCCCGTTAGTCGCCTCTTACGACAAGCATGGGTTACTGAAGGCCCATTCTAAGCCGGACCTTCACGGGTGAGATATCGTCAAGTTAACGAGCGCGAGTTAGTCAGTTAGAAACTGGTAGCTTAGCACTAAGCTCCTAGCTAAACAGCTCACAATAAAACGTTGTGGACCCGCAGACGGACTTGTGTTGTCACTTTGAGGACTATCCACCAACACACAACAACAACCAACACCTAAAACAACATAGTAGTAAATAACAGGACATGTCTACGGACTGAACCTGCTACGACGGATACTATAAACCAAGGATATGACAACACGTGTAAAATATTACTTTTTATTACTTATTTTTTTTAATCAAAACTCAATCAGAAGATGAGTTCAATGTTCCAACGTTGAAAAAGCGCTCCAAGCTTTGTCCGTCATTTGCAATAAAATGGAGGCAACTGTTTCAATTTCCTGGGCACATTTTAATTAAACAGGGGAATTTTACGTTCCATCAAGTATTATATTGACAATACTGACTGACTGACCCCATTATTAAAATTGGTGATTCTGTAAGAATTGATGACAGAGGTTCTGGAGTCGTTACTGCAGTAATTGACTTTGGAAAACATGAAAATTGTTTAAATTGAAGGTACGGATTATGAGGCACGAGAGACAGGCTGTCGTCTAAGAAAGGTACCAACCAAGGATTTCGATCTATCCATCACAACAAAGAAGACGAATCGATTCCGTCAGGTATCAGAAACTGATATTGATAAGGTGATAATCCTCAATAAAAATAGAAACAGTACAAAGAAAACCCTGCCTGATTTTGGTGTTCTTTTTAGACAGAAATAAGGATTGAGTTATGTTTGCACTGTATTAGCGACTAGTCACAACCATATGCCGCCAGGAACGGTCTTCACCTTGGTGTACCGCTAAGTATTCTTACGCGAATGCTCGATTCTCTTCATATATTTCACGTACGATTTGCTTCTTTTTTAGAGTAATTTTAAGAATGACATTATATGATAAAGAGATTATTAACCTCGTGTGTTTCCGTATCATTACTATCATATATTAGGGGAAAATATGTATTATGCTCGCCAAAGGGTCGCATAATACAATTTTATTCCTAATTATTATATTAATGATACGGAAACACACGAGGTTAATAATCTCTATGTATCACTGGTACATAATTATACTAAATATGGATGTTCCATCTGCCCAAATATCAGCTTTCATCGCGATTATCTTTTAATGAGTATAGTATCGTACACGAGGTAATGCTTTCTGGTTGGTTTTATTGCCATATGTACTTAAAACATTCAATAGTTTCAATACAGATCAGTAAAACGATAAAGGGATACACTCATTTACTATTACCGGAAGTCAGACGGAATGGGACAACAAATAGATTGACGATTGACGTTGAAACGCAAATGAGTAAAGTGCAGTATGTTTTCGATAAAATCAGTAGGCAGTGTAACGGCAACCTGTTGGGAGTTGGGAGAGAGGAGTTCCGATTGGTCAATTGTCGGGCGTCACAGCTTGGGCTGGAGGGAGAATTGACAGAGAGGGTATTCAGGACTGTTGGGGCGGCACTCGGTGACAACAGCCCAGGCAGGTTTGGAGGTAAGCCCGTATATAACGAGACTTTTTCGTTGAAGTAGTTGAGATCTCTCATAACTTGGAGACGTGTAGCTCATTTAAATTGTCATTAAGTGTTTACACTTTAGTGTGAATTAGCATTTATGTTTATTAGTCATGTGTAGTACAAGTAAATACATAGCATCAGAGACCATATAATAGATATGGTCTCTGATAGCATGCATCTATTTAGAAAACAATGATGTATGAAAGGAGTTTATACCGCAGATGTCCTCACATCCTACATGTATTCGACATTATTTGTTAAGATTTAATACAGGGTTTAACGAGACTTTTCTAACTACACCCTCTAATATGTAAGTAATCGTACTTCGTGGTAATACTGTCACATACCGATCAAACTTTGTGTAAACGTTTTACTGAAGATAAAGCTTCGCTTAGCTCACACTTTTAGGTATCGACAACACACTATGATGGGGATCGGGAGTCCATATTCTCCAGTCCATTCAGTCGACTGCCATCATGTATTTAAGAATAACGTTTGTTTACAGTTCCTCCAGTGATTAATACAAGGCTAGGGTACCATAACTGTTGGACTTCTGTTAAATCTAAGAGCTGCAACATTATTGAATGGAGCCGTGATAATCAAAATATGGAACTTCATTATATACCCATGTAAATTTAGGATAGTTATACAGGGGTGCAATACGGATGACGTGGTCAAATTCTGTATTGCACCCCAGATTCCGTATTGAATCCCTGCCGGTTCTACTGATTTGTTTTATTAAGTAACAGATTAATGCAAGATAAGAGGGTATATAATAAATATAGAACGTCATACTAGTGCATTTGGATGTTTTGTATTGAACTCGAAACATCTTCTCGTTCAATACAAAACATCCAAATGCACTAGTATGACGTTCTATATAGTGATTTCACTGATAGACACTAACTTCATTGCCAGTTAATAGATCGGTGTAAGTCTCCACATGTCCAGTACATGTACAATACATGCGCCGCGGGGCGTCGGTCAACCATCCTCAACTACACCGTCACAATGGACGGATAAGATATTGCATGACTCTTAATCCTACAATAGTATTCCTGTTGTATAACGTTACTAAGCCACCTGTGTTGTTAGACGATGTGCTTTTCCTTGGATGATGATTTTACTGTTAACTATTCATTTATCCTTGTAAATCTTTATGCACATAAATTTTGTGTTCACGTATTCATGGCATCAAAGTTGAATTGCCTTTTCCCTGAAAGGTGCGTATTTGTTTGTGGGCGATTCCCCTCATTTTTGTAAAGCCATGCACACCTGAGAATCACGTACGCCATTTTACTATCGTTTCAGACTGAACAAGCGATTTACAGAGACAGTAAAACATGTTCAAAGGCAGAAATGTTCAGAAAAGCCACAGGAGATTATCACAGTAGGTGACCACACAAGAAAGCAGGGTGCTATAAGAAAGTAAGTCTGGCGAGAGCCGTGTGACACAACGCTTTCTTTACGTCCATGGACACATCCTTTCAGCCCTAGGCAGGTGGTAATTGTCCTCTGGTCGTTCTGCTCTTCTATATATGATACCCTGTACAGAGCAGACAAATAGAGGTAATTACCTCTTTTGGCGGAAACCGTGCAGGTGAAGGAACACTGGTGGACAGGAAAACAATGCAGCCGAAAGAGGAATATATAAGCCCTGTTTGCTGTGAACAACACAACAAGTTAAGGCTGAGTGAATGCAGTCCAGCAGAGATTGAACAGTTTCAAGCCGTACTTACTTGTGTTAACTGATACGTGTTACAATAGTATAAGGTATTGTTTGAGCTGACTAATGGGTTATCCATCAGTATCACACAGTTGAAAGAACACTTGTCGCTGACCGTTCTATGCTCAAGGTCTGACCACCCAAGATGAATAACAGCACGATCGGGACAGGCGGTGTCCTCAAGCTGGAGGATTTCACACAGTATAAGGTGGGTGTGGCAATATGGACATACATTCCACCTATACTCATCGTCATGGGCTCAATAGGTAATATTTTATGCATCGCTGTGTTGTCGCAGACGTCTATGAAGTTGTCTACGACGTCGCTGTACCTCCGCGTTCTGGCTGTTGTTGACGTCGTCGTGTTGTATACTGGATTACTGCGGCAATGGCTCTTGTATTTTCTGGACCTAGATATCCGCTGGATGACCGAGACAGGATGCAAGATTCACACTTGGATCGTTTATGTGGTTGTACATTCATCGGCATGGCTGCTTGTGGCCGTGACTTTGGAGCGGGTGCTGTCGGTGATGTTTCCCCACACAGTTAAGATGAAATGTACCAGGAATGCAGCATACGCTATCATTGCTGGCATTTTAGTCCTGTTCCTGCTATTGAACGCCCACTACCTGTATGGTATTGGCGATTATTACCTCCAAGAGGGAAACGAGACGCTGCTTATTCCATGTGACGGCATTACAGATGGGTACTACTACTTCGAGACGACGGTGTGGCCTTGGGTGGACTTCTGTATCTATTCATTCCTTCCGTCAACTATCCTCATCATCTCCAACTTTTGCATCATCAGGAAAGTCTTTAGCAGCGACACGAAGGCCAACAGCGTGAAAGGCTACTGTGGAAACGTCACGGCGAGGAGGAACAAGACGACATCCATGACAATGACTCTGGTTGTGGTCAGTGCGGCCTATGTAATTTGCACAACACCCTTTTGTGTATACACCATCTACACAAACATTTTCTCAGAAGGTTTGTCGCCCGAGACACAGGCTACGAGAAGTCTGTTGTGGTCGCTCGTCAACATGCTTCAGTACTGTAACAACTCCATCAATTTCATCCTGTACTCGGTGACGGGCTCTAGGTTTCGACATGAGCTCAAGGGATTGTTCTGTAAGAAAGCCTATGTTCCTAGACCCACAATTTACACCATGACAACAAAGAGCACTTCCGCTGACTCAGTGCTGCACTAAGGATTGAAGTACGTGTCAGTTGGAAAACGGTGTTGGAAGTCGAGTGTGTTCGACTGAATTGTCTTTAACGGTAATATCATACCCTAACCCTTCTGTGGACTAGCATTAAACATTACATTGTGGTAATGTGTGACGATGAGATAATGATATGTGAGATAAGTCTATGAAGACTGACATTCGGTGGATTGTATCTGAAAAAGAAGGTAACAATGACAAATTATCTTCTTTGATCGTGATCTGTTTTGATTTTTAGCCTTCAAATGTAATAAGTTGTAGATGGAGTTGTTGAGTGCATCTTGATGGCTTTCTCAATAGCTTCGTCATCAAACAGATGCTGGGATCAAGAGATCTGGATGGAACGTATGGAGGAGATGTCTTTGAATGGCAGTTACAGGCAAAGCAGTGGGGTTCCATACGTGAGATCAGAACATTGCCGTGCAGGAGTCAGAGAATCACCCTCGAGATATCGAGTCGAGTCAATATCGTCGTGACTTCCTCAGTGGTCCACGTCCTGTTTGAAGATGAAATATCTCTTGAAAACACTGAGCTTATTTGTTTGTCGGGATCAGTTATTACACGAAAAGTGGGCGCTCGATGAGATTTCACCAAAGGACTGAACAGCCTGAAGATGAAGATGGGCATGCCTCAGTAATGTCATCAACAAAGCCCTGTTCTTGTCAAATGTAATTTGTCCTACAAAAAATGTATATCTAATAAATATATCACAACCTAAATAAATTAAAGTTAATGCCACATTAATGCATATTTTCATCAATTGGTACAACAGTTCTTACCACAATTTTAGATTTAGCGTTCCTGTTCAGAATCCACCAATTACAGGATGGTCAGGTGTCTAAGATTCTGAATGACTTCTAACAAGGAACAATGATTCGACCTTATAGTCCATCAACTTTTCTTTGAGGACACGGGCCCCGTTCCTCAAAGCGATCGCAGTGCTACGACTGTCGTAAGTCTATTTTAAAGTATGGGAGTTACGATCATCTTAGCGCTACGATCGTTTTGAGGAATGGGCCCCCGGTTTTTAGCGGTTTAATTCGCCTGAGTGTATTTGTATATCATGAAAATTGAAGATGTATTATCTGTATGCTTTGACCAAACTAAAAAAGTATGTTTTAGAGTTTGTTATCCCAAATTGAAGATTTATCTGTAATTTTTATCATTTAATTTCATGACATCGTTGGGGATAACAGCATATGATTAAATGTTTGTAAATGTCTCTAAACATAGACTGAATACCTGCGTGCACGACAAACTGTTTGACTGGGGTTCCATTCAAAAATACATATGACATAATTGCATGCTCAGGTTCATGAGCCTGTTAGTGAAAACAATGGTGCTGAGGCAGGCACCTTATCTAATTTAATATCATTTACTCTTTCTGCCAGTATTGTTTATTATGTCTACCGTGACTGCAGTAAATACTGGATTGTGATTGGTTAATTAAAGTCATTCCGAGGTATATCATCACGTTATCTTTCCCTGACTTTCCAACACCGAATGTATTTTTTAAAAATATTTTTTGTTAAACATACTGTGCTGGAAAATCAGAGGTGTATACAGAAATTATAATAGGTTTATTTTTTATTTAAATCCTCCCCTAACGCCTTATAGTTTCGTTATGATTTAATGTCTTATTTCCTTGTTCTATGTGTCATTGGCTATTTGATAGTTCTTTGTGTTGTTATGAATCCCTTGATGTTTAGTTTCCCTATCTCTATCTCTATCATACTGTACAAATCTCTTTGTTCTTACTCTATCAGCTCCATTCTTCAAGTACTATCAACTATCTGTGAAAGTTTACTTATCTATATTCGTCCTATTTTCCCTACATATGTTGTGATCACATTCACATTCAACATTTGTTCCCGACAACATGAACAAATAATATATTGTCTATTTAATATCATAATGTCATATCTTTATCTAATATTGTCTGAGTATACACTATACTCCCAGTTTTTACATGGGTAATGATATAGTGCAACACCGTGTGGTGATTGGGGTATTTAATTGTGTAAACTTTAGAATACAGGTAGGATTTAAGAGCGTCCTTCATGCGCGTCTTTCTGTAACTCTCTTTGTACGTGAATTAAGGTTATGTTTGAGATTTTCTGTAACGAATGGAAATCAGGCACACTGTTTCTTAGTGTTTGTTGTCTCCAGTCACAAGCTGGTAATGTTGACGTAATCCTTGTGTTACTATTGTTATTACTGATTGCTGGGGACGTGCAACCCGACCCCAGGGCCACTGACCCATGACAACTCTGTCTGTGACCATTCATTGTCTATTTTCCATCTTAATACTAGAAGTGTACGTAACAAGCTTTCTTATTTGAGTGAATTCTTGTCAGATCATAATGTTGTTTGTTTTACGGAAACGCACTTAGACGACAGTATTAAAACTGAAACGCTCATATGGGAAAATTTTCACGAGTCAGTATGCAAAGACAGAAATATGTTTGGAGGTGGTTTACTAGTTTATGTTAATAAAAGCCTTTCTTTTAAGAGAATTTCAGAACTTGAAAACATCTATGGTGATTCAGATATATACTTACTGCAAAATTCGCTGTTGTTATGTAATGTATACCGTGCAGAGTATAATTCATAGGACTTTTGGGCTCGCTTAAATAATAGCGTTGAAAGCGCTCTTGATATGTCGTCTGAGGTTGTCATTGTTGGTGATATAAATGAAGATCTCTTATCCGCTAGAAAGCTTAAAGTAAATGAACTCTTGGTTATGAAAAATTTAAGAAATGTAATATTAGAACCCACTAGAGTTAGCAAACCAACCAGTACTTTGCTTGAACCAGTAATTGTCAGAGAAGACATTGGTGTTGTTGAGTTTGATAGCAATATAAGTGATCACAGAAGAATATATAGCGAGAAATCTGGTGTTACAATAAGGATGATTATGAAGTGCTCAATTATCTTATAGAAAATACAGAATGGAAAGATTTATATGATAGATGTTCAGATGTTAATGATTCTTGTTCACTATTTTATACCAAATTTACTCAACATGTGAAATCATGTATTCCTTCAAAAATAGTAACTATTCGTCCAAATGACAAACCATGGTATGACTCTAATTTGAGGAGAGAATCCCGAAAAAGAGACCGATTACGGAGAAAGGCGAAGGAAACTAAAAAAGAGAGCGATAAAAAGCTTATAAACATCAGAGAAATAGAGTAAACAACATGAAATGTTATGCGAAAGAAAACTTTTATTCTAATATTAATGGCCTACTTTTGGAATTATATGCTGAAAATAAATCTTCATATTGGAAATTATTACGTTATATTGTTAAAAACTCGGGCTCTACTTCGCATATTCCTCCTCTCAAGCAGAATATTGATGATGAATTCCCAACGCTGTTTTCTGATTTAGAAAAAGCTGAAAAACTTAATACGTATTTCGAATCAATATCTCGATTGAATGATAAAGATGTACCATTACCACATTTTCCCTCAAGGACCAACACGCAGTTAGAAAAAAAAGTAATTTCTAAGAAGGAGATATCTGATGTTATAAAATGTTTGCAGCTAAACAAAGCTTCAGGGCCGGATAGAATAAGTCATAAATTATTAAAGAACACCGTTGATTCTATATCTGAGCCCCTGTGTTTACTGTTCAATTTATCATTAAAGCATAGTGTGTATCCAAATATGTGGAAAAGTGCACATGTCATGCCACTGTATAAGAAAGGTGATCACTCTATTGTTTCCAATTATAGACCTATTTCTCTTATAAGTTGCATAGGAAAACTATTTGAAAGAGTTGTATATAAACACTTGTATAACTTTTTCCATGTTAACAAACTTTTATATAAGTACCAATCGGGGTTTAAAGCAGGTCATTCAACTGTCCATCAATTAATTGAACTTTACAATCATATTTGTACATCTCTAGACAGCAAAGAAAAATATTGTATGATATTTTGCGATGTATCCAAAGCTTTTGATCGTGTGTGGCACAAAGGGCTTGTACTTAAATTAGAGAAGTACGGTATTAGAGGCCAGCTTTTACAATGGATTTCGAGTTATATAAGTGATCGCAGTCAACACGTCTTTGTAAATGGAGCTATATCCAAGCCCAGGTATTTAACAGCTGGCGTCCCCCAGGGATAAGTATTGGGACCCTTTTTATTCGTGGTCTATGTTAACGATATTGTTGATAAGTTAGATTGAGTAACAAGACTTTTTGCTGATGACACTTCGCTTGGAAAATCATCTAAAAATACTAAAGAAATCGAAACTTCTCTAAATGCCAATTTAGACATATTACATAGCTGGAGCAAAAACTGGTTGGTCTCATATAACCCTGCAAAAACAGAAGCAGTGTTGTTTTCCATGATTGATGAAACTGAAGAATTGAAATGATTTTTTGACGGAAAGCAAATTAATTTGGTAAACAATCATAAACATCTCGGAATAATATTAGAAGCAAACGGCAAATGGTCTTGTCACACTAATCAAATTATCAAGTCGTGCTCCAAAATGATATCATCAATGCGAAAATTGAAATATTTACTAAACAGAAATACAATCAACAATATTTATAAGATATTTATCAGACCACACTTTGAATATGCTTGTGAATTATGGGATGGTTGTACCGCACAACAGAAGGAAAACTTAGAGAAACTTCAGTTAGAAGCTGCCAGAATAGTTACGGGTCTTCCCAGATATACCTCACGGGAAATTTTATATTATGAGACAGGGTGGGAAAGACTGGATGAACGAAGGAAAAGAAGAAAACTTCGTCTATTTTATCAAATTCAAAATAATTTAGCTCCTGTCTACTTAAAAGATATTACTCCAGATAGTGTGGGATCCAGATCTAACTATAACCTTAGGAATGCTAACAATATTATCCTTCCTTCTGCAAGGTTTAGACTTTCGTATGATTCCTTTTGTCCATCAACTGTAAGAATATGGAATAATATTTCTGAAACCGAAAGAAATCGACCTTCATTACAAACTTAAGTTTCAAGTCATATTTAAAAGGGTGAGCAACCTGTAGCTCCCTCATATTACTCGTTTGGTATTAGAAAATTTAATATTATTCACACAAAGTTGAGATATATGACTAGTCAGTTAAATTATGATCTGTATCGTTGCAACATGAAAGATTCTGCTTCTTGTTACTGTGGCAATGCTTGT